AAACACACATATATATATATATATATATATATATATATATATAGGTTTCCATCATGTGTTCACACCACCGTCATTTATAGCCGCAATGTTTAATTCTAATTGTAAAAAAGTACCATGATAGGTTGTCGAACTAAAAAATGTGAAGTTTCTGTCGAATTGTGACATTCTTCTGATCCATTGAATGTTGGTGTTCATACTTGAGATGCGAAACAGAGCCAAATGTACGCGTGCAATATTTGCTCTGATTCACAGCGAAGGTCATTACACTCCTTTGGTAATCGATTTCCCGCTCCACTTTTTTGCTCTAAGGTCAGCAGCACAACTATCCTCAATAGTATAACTTAACAGAAAAAAATCCACTCCCACGTAATCGTGTTTTAGTGTGCTGTTCTAGATGAATCCCTTTGATTAGTCTAAGCGCTCACGTGCTTCATGCCGTTTCAACTAACCATTAGGTCCTCATGGGAGGATCGATACATGGAACGAATGTTATGAAAACTGTGATTGTATGCTCATACATCTATTTAGTACATACTTATCCAAGTATAAAGTGAATTATTCTAATACAAAAAATCTCACTAGAAATATGTTCTGAATTGCAGTTTCTTCTTTGTTTTTAGATTGGACACGATAACTGGGTGCGTCAACTGGTTTTCCATCCGCAAGGAAAGCTACTACTCTCAGCTGCTGACGACAAAACTGTTCGTGTGTGGGATCTGAAGAACCGACGCTGCCAAAAAACGCTCGACGCACATTCGCATTTCGTCACCACTATAGGTTAGTTTTATCTTAACGTGACTGTTTTTTGTCAACGCTTTTAAAACAAAATTTATTACACACTTTCGTGTCATGAACAGCAGACTAGGTGGGTCCTTAGTCACAAGGATCTGCTATGGATTGGGGTTGTATCGACCACGTTCTCCCTCTTTGCCAAATTCTGAAGCACCGACATTGTAGACCCCCTACCTCTGTCTTCCCCGTCCTCAAGACGGCCTTCCACGCGGTCGACCACTCCAAATTCTGGCGCTTCCTGAAAAGTGTGTCAGAGAAGTTTTAGTTCAATTCTATACTAATAGCCGAAGCCGAGTTCAAGCTTACGACACTTTCACCAGAGTTAGTCACAGAGGGAGCTGTTCGTTGGGACTGAGCTAAGTGCCAAGGCTGAGCGCTCGCTTCTTGACTGAATTATAGCAAGTAGCCGACTGCACTGTGCGTCACGACAGCACAGCTACAGAATCAAGCGCCCATGCTTATTCGTCGTATCGGTGTATGCACCAACCGATTGCAGTACAACTGAAATCAAGGATGAATTCTACAAGGAGTTTTCTCAATTACGGAAACCCTAGTAGTCACCGGAGATTTCAATGCTCAAGTGGGATCCCTGGACGGATGCGAAAAGCTTCTCGGCGGACCACATACAATCCCAGCCAACCGGACGGACAACGGAGATCCGCTACTACAATTCTGCGCCGACCACGGATTGTTCCTGTCAAGCACCATCTTCTCGCATAAGAAACGACATCACTGTATTAGAAAACCGCCAACATCTTCACAGCACTGGACCTAAACCCACCACATCGCCATCGGTTACCGCTAAAGGTCGATTCAAGACTGAATCACTAATCAACAACTGTGGATACGGACCACGCTTTGTTACAAGCCAAATTCACCCAAGCAAGCAACCGCAAGAAAGCAGACACAGACAACCACGATACAATGTCATGGATAGCTGCAAATCGGCCTTCAAAGCGCTCTCCGATCAAGTATCAGGCCATCACCAGCCGGAGAGCACAATGAACACTGGGAGAAAAGCTAAGAAGCAATGCAAATATCGATAATCAGCGATGTACTCTGGCACAAGCTCAAGGAATAAACCATCGAACTCGTCGGCCTCGGCTGCTGTACTGGACACCCGCAGAACCGTTCTTCCTGATGCCACATATGACGGCGTGCAAATCCCTCAAAAAAAGAGCTCAACAAAAGTCTGAGAAATGACCGCATGAAGTGATGCATAGGAATGTGTAGGGATATGGAGAAAGCTGTAGCTATTGGTAATACCTGCACTCTCCTTCGTGCAATTAGGAATACGGGACTCGGAAAAATGGGTGAGGTGATAGGGGAATCCGATGGCACAGTGATTTCCCAGCGACAGTGCCGTCTTGATCGATCGGCCGCACGTTTCCAGATTAAGTCCAACAGGTCTCCATCGCCATTTGGTACACCCCCCCCCCCTAAAAAATTCGATAGGGCAAATACTCCCGTTTGATGTCTATCCTCCATCTGAAATGGACCCACCCAGAGAAGTAATTTATCTCAAAAGGCATACGGCCTCCGATCTAGATGGGCTGTTTACATCAACTTTTAGGTTGCGTGATGAGACTTGATTTAAACGTTGACGAAAATCTTGCGCTCAATTGAGAGAGCAAACAAGTTGAAGCTGAGTGGTGCGAATCGGTCATCTTACCAATATACAAGAGAAAAGACATGCTCTTCTGAAAACGACGGAAGAATTAGTTTAACGAACACTATCCCCAAACTTCGCACTAGGATCGTACTACGTCGATTGTCCGCTGCACATGAAGGGTGCACGCGTGAGAATCAGGCTGGTTTTAGATCCAATCGGGGTCGTATCGACCACATTCTCCCTCATTGCCAAATTCTGGAGCATCGACATCGTTCCCGTCTTACTGGACGCACAAACGGGCTTCCACGCAGTCTACCACTCTAAACTCTGAAGATTGTGCCAGAGAAGTTTTATTTCAATTCTGTGATCTCTTTGTACTAACAGCCGAAGCCGAGTTCAAGCTTAAGACACTCTTTCACCCGAGTACACCACAAAATTGACGTTTGTTGGGGTTGCCCTCTCTTCTCCTATTCAACTTTGTTATACATTTGATTATGAAATCAGTCCTATCTTCGTGCGAGAATAGTGGCATCCAGTTGCTCCCAGTTAGCAAACTGTCGGATCTGGAGTATGTGGACGAAATGGTATTGCTTAGTGAAAATCCAGGTCCATTGCAGCTTTTCGGGATAGTTAGAGTGCTTGTGTAGCCTTCGTCGATGTTCGGTTTCCTCCTTCAAACTGTAAAATGTGGCTTTAGACCGGGTTGTTTCAACATCCAACTTCATTCTAATAGGGGAAGTAATGGAACAAAAATGACAAGTTTTGTTATTTGGGAGCTATATCTCAACCGGTTTACGTATCATTTATGATGTGCCAGCTCGCATACAGAAGACTTGATTGGCATTTGCCAATTTGAGCCATCTGTGGCACCGCCGCGAATTTCGGCTGTCCGTCAAGGATCTAGTGTATGCTGCGGCAGTTCGGCCAGTTCTGTTATACACCACAGAAACCTGGGCATCCAGAAAACAGGATAATCGCGTTGCCTACTAAAGCAAGTTTTCGACCCTAATAGATCACGTTGCTTAGGGTGTGTTGCGCATTTCAGCAAAATGGGTTGCCATGGCGCGCGATGCTTGCCGAGACAGGTAATGGGTGGATAAAGCTACTTGTGGTCAAAATAAGATCTTGCACGAGTAGACTCGGTCATGTAAGTCGCGTTAGGCTCCCTGGATGAGGGCCTCGAGATCATTGTAGTCAATTATTAGAGACCGTGATATGGATTTTTCGTAGTCAGTGGTATTCGTCCGTTTTCTCTACCTCTTTCTACCCATGGATCCAAGACTGCAACCGATACCGGCGCAGTAAAGTGCATGTTTACTGGTTGTATAAACTAAACTAAACTAGCTCTCCATCACATTTTCAGAATTATGAATTTCCCTAACCTCGTATACAGGGCAGTTAATTAGATTCCCTTTATATTACAACAGAACGATCGGAAAGGTGTGTACACACCAATTATGCCTACTACGGTTTCTCGTCCATCGTTTTCCAAAGTCCCGGATGTAGGGATGCTGGACCATCTTTTTTCTACTTCGTGAACCGTATTCCCAAGCGGATAATGTTGAATACTTCCGACAAATCGTTAGCAGTTTCAGNCGTATAAAGGATGTCGTCCATGTTTAGGTATGTAAACGAAAGCCATCAATGGTAGCTTACAATGGTTACGTTTCAGCTGAGGTGAAAACGTTTTGTCAGAAGTGCAGTAATGCAGTAATGCTGTTGTCAGTAGAAGTTTGGATCAAGTAGGATTGTTAATTCACTGTATGCATATGTTGTTCCTTCAACTTGCCTGCCAGGATTTCACTCTTTTAGCCTTCAACTTAAGTTCTCTATATTCCTAGTCATGCTCTTATATATCATATAGTGGAAAAATTCTTACACAATGATAGCCATTGGCTCAATTTAAGGTCATTAATCAGAGGCAGAGAGTAATGGAAGTGTACGGGTATGAGGGCGTGTGTTTGGACACTGACCATGACCGAGACGACCGCCATTCGCTTACTAGGCCCTAACCTATGTGCCCAAAAACGACTGGTGCAGGCGCTCCAATTGCCTTGGCCGGGTGTGAAAACCAAGACAGAACATGATGTGTCACCTGACCCAGATGGGGAAAGGTTACATCAACCAACACGCTACACACACACACACTTCCATTACTCTCTGCCTCCGATTAATGACCGTAAATTGAGCCAATGGCTATCATTATGTAAGAATTTTTTCACTATATGATATGTAAGAGCATGACTAGGAATGTCCGAAAACAATTGTTCGCTCACCGACTCGTTTTCTCAATGCTATCATGGGAATATTCAAGCTTTTCCATATTGAGTATACAATATAGCACATGTTTGACCCAGATGTCGTAGTGGTTTCTTCCATTTAACTGTACTCAATCTCTTTCTTTGCTCCTCACATTGACAAGTTATGGTGCAATCGGACGGAAACATCAGTGATTTTCTGTTTTTGATTTGCCTGTCGCTATGATTCCCGAGCATTGCATCGGGATGAAGATGATGCAATGGTTCAGGTATTGTCACCGGCGTGTTTTGGACCAGAGCTTCAAGCGCCGCCACCCAGCGTTGGTGGTAAACAACTTTGCTGTCGTCCGGTTACATACCTAACGGGGCTTTATGTGGTCCACCACTCCATGTCCCGAGCTTAGATTGCCGGATTCCATAACTGAACAGCAGGTCTTCGTGACTATGGCGTTTACCCCATCTACTGTTCATCACTCAAAATGTGAAAATCTGTCCTTACTGTTTGTCTATTCATGCAATGTGATATGATCGGGCTGGTGTGTCTGGCAGGGTGTCTCCCGTGAACGGATGTGCGAGATAATCGAATGTGAGCTGATTCTCAGCCTGGACTGGAAAAATACAAACACCATGAGCCCAAAGGTGAAGTGTGATATAAACAGAGCTCACAATCAAACTCAGTGGCAAATTGCCAACCCCACTGCAGGATAATTTTTTCCCGTCAGGATCGATTTTATATTTATTTGAAACTTATTCTCGAGGAGTATTTAAACACCACTTTTACTCCATTCTAGACTACAACCGTAACGCGCCCTGTGTCATCACCGGCAGTGTGGATCAAACAATTCGCATATGGGATTGTCGATAAGTCTTCACCATCCATTGATGTGACTCGGGGTTTCTTGGACCGTGGGGAGTATTAATCTGCTCAGAGTATCGTCGCTATCTCCCTGTCAGATCTCTCGGATGATGTGCGATTAACAATCGTCTCCGTTCTGTGCTTCATTCCCATCTATCCTGTGTTTTCCGCGTTCCGCGACAATAGTGATTGCGATGTTCTGAAGACCAGAAATCTTGTTCTGCAGACATGGACCCACTTGTGCTACGTCACTGTTTCTTTTACCTTTTCTCACACCATCGGTAATTCAAACTCACAAGTTGTTTGCATCTGGTGTCCATCTTTTCTGTCGTTTTCGTTTAATGTCCGCCTCCCCCTTAGAGTCAACAGGCGTAAGTATTCAAACTGGCGCAAAGCAATTGAGTTTCATTTTTTGGTCAACAAGTCATGTGCGCTGTGCCTCGCATTCTGCCCGCGCGGAAAATGCAACCGGATGAAGCGACCTGATTGCCGCTTCGTTAGCTAAAACTTCGTTCACGTCGAAGTGATTGATGGTGACGTGCTGTTCATAGAATCCTCGCATACCCACATTCGGCCCATCCACAAAAGATTTCATTTTTGCTCCCATCGTGAATACAGATCCCCTACTCAATACAGGTGCTTGGTTCTAACATCCACCCTACCGCTACATACATCATACTGTCATCTTCAATATCCTGGTCATTCCTCCCTGAGCTGCTCGTTCTCCCAGATTGATGAATTCTGATCAATCTCTGCACATATACTGTTTCTGTATACACCAATGTGCACATCGACAACACAGCTGGGGACAAAACCTAATTTGGCCCGCGGTTATACATCAACCATTTTATTCCACCTCATAAACGTCACCCAGTCGATTACAATCATCGTGATACTTAAGTGCGGTGAGTTACAATGCAGATTCCCGCGAGTCCGAACCGACTGTGATGTCTATCTGTTGACCTGTAATAGACCATGCATGGAGCCGTTCCACATTTGTGAACGCCCTATCCCTTCTGTCTAAACATGTGAGTCCTCCGCTGCACTGTTCGGTTCGCTTCTCGGTATTCATTTTCAACTATTGCTTTTTTCTAAATGCCCGAAGGGCTATTTGTCTTCCCATTTTTGTCGAACTGTCCGCGCCATCCATGCTAGATTTCTGTTTCGGTGGTTTGTGTTCCCTCTCTCGCGTGTGTTCTTCGCCTTGCAAATCACCATGGTCTTTGGCATCCGGTCACCTATTCTTACACACGCTTAATGAATCGACCCCGTAAGCACTCATTCTCTCCAAACAGGTTTGCTGCGCTGCGGTCACCCTCACAGTGTTATGGGCGACATTCATTGTATTTAGTTATTTGGTTTGGTGTTACGTCGACCAAATGGTTCTACAGCTGCCATGGTCTTTGACTGTGTGCGTCTTGGTTTTGCTTGCCTCTCTCCCTTTCACTGTTTGTTATTACAATGTTCCTGGTTTCGGCTAGCTTCCTACGCGCATGATTTTGCGTCTCATTGCCCACATTGTCTGTCTGTTCCGTTGGGCTCCGATCTTCATCGAATGCTTGCGTTTTACTTTCAATTGTGTTATTTTGTGGTGGCATGTTGCTCCTATTCTGAAACTCATATCTGAAACACTTCTCTCTTCCGCCTGTTGGTACATGCTTTGTAAATTAACCAACCTTATTTCTCTGCTAATCTCTTTGAGCCTTGTGTCTTACATCTTGTTTATTCTGCGCGCCCCTCAGAAACCTTTCTTTCCAGTATTTCAACAATTCGGTCTCGTTTTTGGCTCTGCGCATGAAAATCATTGTCATACACACAGACATTCAAAGATCACTTAACTTTCGTTATGACATTTCTATGGCGTGTTCTTCATTCGCTCGAATTGACTCGTTTTCCTGAGTCTCAATAGATGTGGTCGGTTTCTCCATTGCAATTATTCGCGAAAAGATCACAGAATATGGCGTCCATTATTCCCATTCGGTTTCGGCCGTCGCCTTTCATAAGCCTCTGTTTAGGTAGGTCCCTGGCTGTTCAAAACGATAATCACATCAGTGAACCGACTGATAACAACTGTATGATAAGTGCTTATCTGTGAGGTGGATACCACGGACAGATACGCGTTGATACTCAATACAACCGTTCTAGTTTGTCGCTCGCTCAGTACCCTATCCAGTTGGTGTTGACCACCTTGATTCATTTTCAGAGTACGACGGAGGGTAATCGATCTGGGAGACCACAGACATTGACTATACAATCGACATTGCACTTCATCATTGATGTATCGGTTCAGCTTGTGTGCCACAATCACTTCTCGTTTCTCATTTAAAATACTCGATCTTCACGCACCAATGCTGGAGAATAAGTAGGTCGTTGACTTTCGTTCTATCAGCTACTTTTGTCCCAAAAGATCTGTCTTCTCAATCGATTTGATTTTTATTGGGTTTTCTCGACAGGCTAGGCCCGCGCGCAGAGTATCACGAAATTTGTTTCAAGTGTAATGAATCGGGAATTCAGTTAGGATGACTTCTGTTGTGATTCGCCGCATCACGTGCAAGTATTATTCGTGGCCGTCGATATTGTTCCAAATGTCGGCGCGTTTCATTCTATCGATCCCGGTTTACTGAACTTTTATATCGGTCCAGGATTGTTCCTGGTCCTTAATGATAGGTTTTGTCGTTGAATAATCCGGGTATTCTGGAATTGTCTGTGTTCAACGATTCGAAAAAAGCCGATAGTTAATGGACAATATAGTTCGATTAGCAGTAGGATTCAGTTTTTGGGCACCCATTAGAGTGATAACTCGATGACAGTCAAACCCTGATTGCCCGTATCATAGTTTTACAAAGCCATTTACCAAACTGCGTGGGCATCGTTCATCGGAGACATCTGTTAGACTGAATCATCTTTACTCATGATTAAGTTACATAAAAGTAAGGGTAAATAGTTGACTGAACTCGTGAGTGTCATATTAAACTACTTTTACCTTAATCATCATCCAGGATTGCCCGGAAGGAATACGTGGGTCCAGGATAATAAATGAAGCTCCTTTGTTTTATATTCCATCGTCGTCTATAGTATCACAATTGTTTTCAAGACTGAATGAAGTCCGTCAACACCGAGCTTGGTTTTGTCAAAGAAAGAAGTGACTGCAGTTTTATCTTGTTTGTTACCCCTTATAACGAGACTTCCCCGGAGCGTGCGAAGTAAGACAATTGGCTTTCTCAGATATCAACAAAAAAGTTGTCTTTTGTTTGCAGCGGAAGCTTGGAAAACATATGATCTCATGAATCCGAGTTGCGCTCTGGACAACGACAGACTAGTTTTATGATATTTGGGCAACTTATTAAAGTTGCTAGATAGGTATCGGTGGATCATTATCTGCCCTGTTAATATATTCCAACGGAGAAGTTTGATATCACTATGAGGGAAAATTTTTATTATTTCTTTGGTATTTGGACTTGGAATTTTTTACTGATTAGTCCAAACGTCTCTATCTATTACATTGCATTTGAGAGCTAGGTTGACGGTCTTTATAGCATTTATCTTGCAATCTTCGAAAATTTTCATTAGAAACAAAACAAGTGGTTAATTTCGAGACAACCACAGCCTCAGTGTGATTTTACGCATCAACTCGTTGAGATCCCAAGCCAAAACAGCCTATGCAATGATTCATTTTATTCGTACGTTGGATCACGGTTAGTAATTTGTCGATTCATCGCGTCGCGAATCCCTTTTCTCACCTGACCAACCAAAGCCACTTACTGTGGTGTTTTTTTATTATCGTCTAAGGCCAAATCGGTCAACCAATGAAGCCAAAATGATCTCGGCGAAAAACAATTGAACCCCTGAAAAACCCGTTAACTTCGATGTTTTTCTGAATCGGGGTTTTCCACTCTACCCTTCGCGTACCAAACACATCACAATCCAACCAACCCAAGTATATTTCCTGTGCTACAAAGACCTGCCTCGTGCTTCAATCAACAGCACCGTCCCATTAGATACTTTAGTTTCACCATCTGTATCTGGTGGTGGGTAATTGTACTCGAGGAGGGTGACCGACATAGGAAGCATAGCTCTTGACGGTCATTTTCTTGGCCACTCTGTTGATGCGTTCACGCCTATGTGCCTATCAGCACAACCCGCTGTGCTCGAATACGAAGTGGAATACTGTGAATTCTGGACCGGATCCTAAGTCAGCGTTTCTTTATAGAGCAACCATTCCGGTCCAATGTTGACTGACTGAGACTACAACTACTGGACTGACCCTAGAACGCGCCACATTTATCTGTGTTTTGGTCAGTGCACAAATGCACAAGTGTAAGCACAACTCGGAAGGAAATTGCAGGTTTACACGCATTTGCTCTAGAACTGGGTTTGTGCTACGCAGATGTCCACGTTGATGATTTGCATTTTTTAATGATTGCACCTGCAGCATTGTAACGGACTGACTTTAGGAAGATAATTATATATATATATATATATATACGACAGTTTTGTAAACAACGGTGTTGTTTTTGTAGCTGGGGTAGTATAACTTGGTGTTCAGTTGTTCGCCGAGCTTGGCAATTGTATTGCAAACGTTTCGTCACCAATCGAGGTGACATTCTCAATGCGGTAGCTGGGTGAGCGTTTACGAGTGTCCATTTCCTTATATAGGTCGTTGAGTCATGTAGAGATGTGACGTTGCCTGATTGGCTGATGTTTGTTTGCCTTGTGTCGATAGGGGATAAGGTGGACGCGAGCAGTCTGACAGCTGGTTGTTGATCGATCGGTCGAATTGTTACTGTCGTCCTGTTGTGACGTATGACATGACCTGCCTTCTTTGCGCTGATTGGTCCTTCTGTTGCATAGAGGTGTAGACTTGATCGATGTCAATGTGTCCGTTGACAGAGTTTTCCGATGAATACCAAGCTTCCAGAAATTCCCTTGCGTGCTTGGTGCGGGCCTGATCGACGACTTTGGTGTTTTCGAAATTGAAGTTGTGTCCTTCTTGGTCTTCATGAATTGAGATGAGTGAGAGTGCATCGTGTCTTTTGATGGCCAATTTGTGTTCGTGCACGCGAG